ATACACCATGCCGCTTCTTCTGCTTGCCTTCTCGGCAACCAGTCCTTTTTCGATGATGCTCGCGATCCACCCCCCCCCCTCCCTGTCAAACCCACCCACCCCTGAAACGACAATCGATCCGCTCCCAAGCTCCCCTCCCTTCAGACTTCAGTCAGTTTATCACAGCCAAACAGACCACCCGAATCCAACCTGCTCGTCGCCAGACGCAGGATGGGAGCATTCAGTGGCCCCCAGCAGCAAAGAGCTCCGAACATCGCAGTGAACATCACCTGGACAAGGACAGCGCACTGTCATGCAGCGCTCTCGGACTCATCACTATGCCTGAGCGCAGACGATGCCATACACTTTTCGCACAAAGCCCAGCCGCACCTGGACAGCACGCAGCATGAAGCAAAGGCAGTGCTGTCAGTCAGACATCGGGACCACGCTCACGCGCATAGCTTAAGTTTCACCGATAGGCTCAATAATCAGTTCTGATACTACATAACTGCAGGGAACCGACTCGACGTTTAGCACCACCGTAACCATCGACGGCACGGTCCCTACTTCCGATGCTACCCCGGATGAACAATCGCTTTCTCGTCGTTGTGACAACCGGTTGTCACTGCACCGTCGGTCCTGCTGCGCGCTAACGCCCTGAAGCTGGCTCTCAACATCGGCATAGCGTGTTGTCGCCTCAGTCCAGCCAAGATCTCTGTTACCTCCATCCACACTGCACCATATCAAGCTCGCATCAAGTGGCCATGGTGCGTCGCAACGCACGTTCTTGATAACAGCCGGCTCTTGAGCGGAGAAGTTGCTGCGGACGCCCACATGCCAACCAAATGAGCCTTTGCTTAGCCCTTTGCACATCGAGTGGTGCAGGTTTGCAAGCTACAACCAGGTCCAGCTCGAGGCCTGCACGCTGGTGATGCAAGCTCCTGCGACGCCAATGTTGCAAAATTGTGCTCAGCTCAACCGTCCATGCATGACGATCTGTGTGTTCGAAATTATTTCGAGTGCCGGTGTCTGGTCTCCACAAACCCAGGCACACTCTCTAGGTCGGTTGGACATGTCCATGACCTCGCTGACATGACTGCCGTACGATGCTGCGTCGTAGTCCTGGAACAGATTCGGTGCTGAAATCTCTACAGTGAGTCTTACACACTAGACCTACCATGCCGCACTCCTGTTCTTCCCCGGCTGCTACACCATCTGCCACACCTTCCCCAAAGCGGGTCGCCATGCCGGCAGACAAGAGTGTACTGCTTTCTGCAAGTGCGAAGCCTGTGCTGCACGCGCCATCGCTGGCGACCGAGGCAGTGCCCCCTGCCCGCCCTGGCCGCCCTGGCTCCGGCCTCTCTGGCGGCTCCAGCGGCTCCAGCAGTGCCGCTGGCGCCTGCGCGGGACTCGCAACCCACACACGAGTGCGACCGAGGCACCGGCGCCTGCGCATCCTTTCGCACAGCCCCATCTGCATCTGCCAGGTCACCAGCGGAGGGTTGTCATCTCCCACCTATGCAGCTCTTCCAGCCTTTGGCAGGTTTGCTGGGTTGCGATCGTCCGGGCCTCGACGAAAGCAGCTCAACCAAGTTTCTGCAAACAACTGCATTCCCACATCCGCCTGCTTTTCTGCTCTTGCTCCTTCCACAATCCCGGATGTGGAGTATGCCGCAGGAGAAACACGCACGGAGTCAAAACGTGCCTCCAGCAGTTCTCTCATAGCCAAGGCAGACTTCATGCCCCGATGACCTCTGCACTCTACCACCAAGGGCACTGGGCCACAAGACAAGGATTTTCTACCAGGTGCCCGCGCGAGGCTTTGGCGGCTGCCGCGCTACCTCGGCTCCCACTTCCGCTTCCCATGCCTGACGGGTGGCAGGCGCAAACGCACGGGAATACTAATACAATTGGCGGACCTGGCGAGCCGCGGCGATGGCTCGCCGCAGTGGCTCGTGTCCACGGGTGAGGCGATGAAGATTCAGATTATCACGGTGCAAGGATGTGAGAACCTGAATCGCACAAAGCGCGAAGCCAGATAGCGCTTTGAGCTAATCAGCTCCAAGCCAAGGCACCTGTTCTCGAAGGGGCTCCAGTGACGGCTCCTCTGATGCCTCCTTCGCGCCCTCCTCACCCTGTGCTGCGCCTGCCTGACAGAACAACGAAATTACACTTTGTCGTAAACCCAGACAAAGCGGAACCGCATGAAAAGCGCAAGCCTGCACACAACCTACTGTAAGAATCTACACGAAGCGCACTCGAAGCGCAAATGCCCCCTCACCCGCGCCTCAACCAACAGCTCTTGTGCTAATCGCTGCAAGAGCAGGCAGCAGACCATTGCGAGTTCGCGTGTCAATTCCTCAGCGATGGCTGCACTTCAATGCCACCCTTTCTTGCTTCTGGCAGAGACGTGCACACGAGTCAAGCTTACCTGTCTGGCACCTCTAGCGAGGAGGACAACAAGAGAAAAGACAGGCCAAAAACATTGAACCCACAACAAGACCAAGCGCCCCCACAGGACTCCGACTCCTCCTTATGCCTAGCTGTCTTGTGCGGAGCATCCCTGGCTCGATGGGTCCGCTGTGGTGATTCCGAGGATGCCAACTCGGCCTCAAAAGGATGTCATGTGGTGAACAAGAAAGCAAGATAACAGCATGCTTGATCGTACCTTAGCCTGCCGAACATAGAGTGGCTGCGCTGACGGAGTCTGCAAAAGGTGGGACGCACACCTTGCGATTTCTCACAGAAGCAAGAAGCTCTCACTTCGAGTGACTTTGCAGCCACGCCGCAGTTCCGCCAGTTCTCGGGCCCGGGGAAGGAGCCCGGCTCTCCCTGCCTCCGCCATGACCAATCTTTGCGGATTCAGTGCGTAGCAGATTAGACTATTAGCCGACCTCGTCGGTTGCTAGCTGAACGAGGCACTGAAGAAGCCCTTCATGTAGCTCAGACGAGACCTGGCAAGGAGGGACTGAAAGAACAATCGAAAAGGTGCTTCTGGACCTCAAGGCTGTGCACGAGAAGGCGGGCGTAGGTTTCCAACAACGCCTGACAGCATGGCGCTTTATGAATACTCTTTTTAGGCCGCCACCAGTGTGCCTGCACTTCGGGATCTGGACCGGCCTGCAAAGAGAGGGAGGGAGAGAGGGACAGGGAGGGAGGAGTCGGCCAAGAAACTGCCATAAAACGTGCACGTGTCTAGGTCGGGAGTTGTCTGGGGCAAGTTGCGATGAACTTTCGCTGGCACTGCATTACCCAGCGAGTGGCCTACTCTCTTGATCTCTTGATGAGCAAAGCTCCTGGTCATGAAGAGTTCTTCCTCTCGGAGAGCTTCAGGACTGGCTTCAGGTCTCAGGTCTTACGACAGGCCTGTTGAAGGACCACGAAGAGGATGCAGAACGATGGTGCTGATTTCGACGATGGTGATTCAATGATGATGATGATGATGATGATGATGATCGTGATGATGATGATGATGATGATGATGATGATGAAGATGATGGTGGTGGTGTTGATGATGGTGGTGATGGTGGTGGTGATGATGATGTGATGGTGATGGTGATGGTTTGGCCTGCGGCATTCAAGTAGGCTGTGCGCGGCACTGCAAGCACGCTGTTCTGAATCGCTGACACGATGCCTCAAGCGAATCACCATCAACCTCTTGTGGCTGGCCTGAGCATGCAGGCTGCAATGGGCTGCGGCTCAACGCAACTGGACAGCTTCCTTGGAGCCCGCCCGAGGACCCTGCAGTGCTTGGCCCGCTGCAGCAGTTCTTTTGTGATAGCCTCAGAGCACAGCACTCTCTTGTGTCTGCCGCGTCAGGGGGCCGGGGCTGCAGGACGAGATCAGATGTAAGCTGGGGATCGAACGGCAAGTGTCATCACGCACCGTCGCTTGACTGCTGCATCCCAGCCCATGCCTCGAAACTGACGGGCAAGGAAACCGGCGGCGTTGCACTGTCGCTTTGCAACTGTCAGTATTATTCGTGAGCTTTGCGGAAGCTCAGACGCACGCCCAGAGCCAGTGGATCCAGGAGAGCCTTCAAGATTATCCGACCTGTGCAACACAGTTGCTGTGGTCAAGCTTGGCTTCTTGTCTCGAGGCATCGACCAGCTTGCACGAAGCCATGCTTCGCTGCGTCTGGGGATTCTTCTGGCCTCGGAGGACACGCGGCATCTGAACATATGGCTCGCAGCATTAAAACACACCACCGGAACGACCTTGCGTCGAGACCAGCGGGGGGGGGGGTCACTTTCGGTCATCTGCTCACATCGCTGACTCAGGTGTCAGGGTTCACGGCAGTACGTGAGGGCCTCCTGGGACCAGACCCGAATTCCGAGTGCCAGTCACATGGCAAGCCAGAATGTCGTGCACGGTGCTCACCACGGCCTCCTGTAAGTCAGGACCTTAGATTCTCAGAAGCCATTGGCAGCAGGAAAGCAAAAGCCTTCCGCCCGCTAAGTCCGAGACTCCTTAAGGCGTCGACAAGCAAAGGCCTTGAAACGGCTGCCCCAAACATGTTTAGCCTCTTTTTGCTGACGCAGGCAGGAAGGCCAGCTCGATAATCTTTGAGTTGTCTTGCGAATTGTATGCGAAAGGCTTGCGCCTCAGCGTGCTGTCTTTGCCTGGATGAAGCACGATTGTTCTGCCGCCGATTGCTGTGCTTTATGCCATTCGCCTGTACAGTGCAGAACTCAGCGGCCTCTGATCCGGAATGCCGCCCTGACTTCAGACTGTTTTGCTTACGGTCTGGGCTTACAGTACTGTACAAGAGCAGCCATCGCAGGGCAGGCTAGTGCACTCTGCTTTGCGCCGTCTCATTTGGATTTACTAGTGTCTGCATCATTTCGGAAGTGCTTAACCACGCCGTCCAAGCCCAGGGCAGACCTGAAGTGACTCTACCTTTGCACTGTCTGGCCTAGCAAGCATTGATTCGAGCGGCATGAACGGGATTGAGATCTCCCAGACTTTGGGGAAGAACGCAGCGACGGCCCACGCAACCTGCACCTGCCAAAATGCTGCTGCATACTGCTGTGAGACGGAAGTCCAGTGCAGGCCAGTGGCAGGCACCGAGTTGACCTCGGCTCGGAGAACCGGGGGATGAAAGTCGGATCCGACCCTTCCGGAGGCGACTAGACCCCCTTTCAACGCACCGGTTAAGGCGAAGGCAAGTAAGTCACGACCGGAAGCGGTAACATGCTTGAACGCACAGGCCAACAGGAAGCAGTCGACCACCCAAACATCAAGCTTGCTTTTCCCTTTGAACGCTAGCAATCCAAGGTGGTCGAGTGTTTAACTCCAGTACGCTGAAACGGTTGATGTTTGCATGCCTGCCAAATGCTTGACCCCAGTGTGGACGCCGAAACGGCTTATGTTTGGATGTATGCCAGGCCCGGCCACGAAATGCCTACCCCAAGTGTGGATGCTGAAACGGTTGATGTTTGCATGCATGCCAAGCCCGGCCAGGAAATGCTTGACCCCAGTGTGGACGCTGAAACGGTTGATGTTTGGATGCATATCAGGCCGGTCTCCGATTGCTTAACCCCAGTGTGGACGCTGTAAATTTGCATTTCCCCTCGATGCGAGTTAAACCCTCCCCTCGTACTATTGTTGGGGTTGCGTACACCAGTCTTAAACGTAAAAAGTACAATCTTCCTCATTGTTATTCCCAAAGGTCCGGTAACGACTTTCACCTTTCACAGTACTGGTAGAGCTCTGCAGGATCATAAACTGCAAGCAAGCTTCCACAATGTCTGCTTCGTCCTGGGAAACAGGCAATGGTCCATAAACGGACAGGCAAGCATGATCCCCCTTGGACCAGTCTTTTGCTCGAAGTGTTGGAGCAAAAACGCCACGTTCCACCAGGTTCTCTGATTCGCACAGACACACTCCGCAATTGTGGAATGTTCTGCATGGCCATCATGTCAGTGTGTACTGTACATGCAAGACTCTGATCTGAAAACTGGCAAGAGTCATACTGAATTGCCCGGACGACAGCATTGGCAACTTTCTCCGGTGTAGTCCATCCAACAAAACCACCTGCTCGTCTGACGGACACTCCTTTGCCAGGGACGCTAGGTGCAAATTCTAACTGTGTGTCACGCGGCTTTATCTCGTTTCATCATGTTGGGATGCATAAGGTGCGCACCAAGTTTGTCCGACGTCTTTGCGGCCATGCCGGCATCGACGACCAATCCCGGAGAGACACAGTGGAAAGTAACGGGTCTCCTCAATCGCACTGCAAAGATCAATCTCTACCAGAAATCGGAAGACATCGCACTGTGGTCATGCTGCCCAGGGTCTTCTCGAGGATCATCTCGAGTCGAAGCGAAGCAGTAAGCGAAGATAAAGCAGCCTGAGGCGGAGTTGTCGAACACAAACTTGAAGAGTCACACCACATCTTGCCTTTGATGCGCCGTAGATGCTGCCGAAAGGAACCGCGAACTGGCGCAGCTCCGCAAAGCTTGGTGTTTTTGTGTGTGTGTGTGTGTGTGTTCCACATGCTCTCAGTCTCACAGCCGCGAACAACGCAACCTTGGCAGAGATGGAAGAGATGTTGACCACGTGGCCGCGCTGGCCCTCCAGGCCGCGGAGCAGTTTATTCCAGACCGCGCGCTCGGACTATGTGCAGTTTGCAGTGAACCTTCATCATCTCTTGCAGGAAAATCTTCGTCAGGTGGATGGTGCCAACAAGATTTGTCTGTAGCATGGCATCCATCTCGGTGTGTCTGCACGAATGCGAAGTGTTTAGAAACGCTCAAACGTAACCCAACGAACGTCTGCTCCGACCAAGCCACGTCAGTGTCTGACATCGCGTCGAAGAAGGCATTCCTGACAGATCGATCTCTTCGGCTGAATGGCTAAACATAACACGCCTTCAGGGAAGAAGCGCCTGTCAACACCGGCGTTGTTGATCAGGACCTGGCAGGGTCCAAACGCCATCGCCCTGCGGAGGAACTCACTGCGGCTGTTGCTGTCCTCAGTTGGTGTACCCAGCAACGAGACGGTAGCAAACACCAAGCAACAGGAAGCACCGTAACATGAGTAGATCGTTTCTGAGCCGCTGTTACATCCAGCTTGACAGTGAGAACCTCGAAAGAACAAAGCATCCGCATTCTTACAACAAAGGGCCCAAAGCGCCTTAAGCGCACGGTCTCCTAGGCCCGCAGCCTCCAAACTTGGAAAACGCTTCATGAGATCTGCCTGTCCAGTTCTCGGGCAATGGTAGTGGTAAGGAATCAGCACTGAGCGCTGCCTTCACCTCCTGCAGCTTCTCTTCTCTGCGAGCTCCGAGAACCAGCTTCTTAACCTCTGAGAGCAGCACGGTTTGCAGGCCTAGGCTTTAAGGCTTGGAGAATGAAAGGCGTCAACTGCTGTGCGCCTTCTCTGCGGCCAGCGCGGTTGCTATGTACACGCCAAGACCATCCGATGCCCCCGTGACGGCGCAGCAGAGGCCTGGCAAATCAAGCAGGAAAACTTCCCTGCCTGCGCGTCGAGTCTGCCACCTGTCAGCTCGTAGGCTTTCTTCCGAAAGAAAGTCACGTAAAGAAGCCTCGGATGCCACATGTCAAAACTGTTTGGGCTCTCACGAGTGGAGGATCCGCGTCCACCCTGTTTCGCAACTTGCGCCGATGAAATCCAATCAACGGCATTTCCCAAGCTAAACTGAAGCATCCTGCCATGTCGCCGGGCTAGAAGGGCAAGCAGCAAAGCTCCGCCTGCGACTCCATGGCAACAGACAGCTGACCCATGCACACACACACACACACAAACAAACAAACACCGAGAGACTCATGCTGACGCGACATGAGTCCTGTCAAACTTACGACCCTGGGCCAAATTTCTGAAAGTCGCACAAGGACAACCGGGAACTTCAGAAAGAATGACTGTTGAATCAGAGAGCGGCTCCTATTAATGTGCAACCTATTAACACTGCTCCTCCGAACGATGGCGGCGTGACCAGCCCAGCTGCCTATCCCCTAGACTGGTCGCATGACGACACGACTCCCTTTTTCTAGGCATCGACGGAGATGAAAGATGGAGGGCCCTCGGGAGCATTACCCTAGCACGGGATGCCACAACACCCGGAAGGTTGCCTGCATACAGGCAAGCAGTTCCCAGGCGGAGGACCATCCACATGCTCAAAGGTTGGCGAAGCGTTCAACGGGGCTGGAGGAGTGGCTCCTTGTCGTTGTGGTGTTCGTCTTTTCCTTTCAGCAGCTTGGCTCGATCCAACATCTGCGGCATGCCGCAGCTGTCAGAATGACAAAGGCCCAAACCGGAAACAAATGAAGTTGGGCTCCAGGCATGACTCGCTCCTGCAGCCATGTGCATCTGACACAGATTCTTCCACTGAGAACACGAATAAACTATCCGCGACGAGGAACAGAAGACCCTGCATAAGTGTCAACACACTCATATGCCAGCTCTGATCCTTCAGTGCGGCTGTAGCAGCAGAAGTATCTTCCCCGCCAAGGCTGTGAAATTGCCGAACCTCAACGCATGAGATCGGTCTGCACTGGCAATGCATCATGAGCGCTGAGACGCAGGCTATTGATCGCAGCAACAGCAGCTGCTCTTGGCGGGCTTTGGGTGCGACCTTGATAGCAACGCTCGAAAATTTCCCGCAGCTTTGCTGCAAAGATTCACAGGTGAGACGAAGGCGAGCGGTCTCTTGCTGTCAAAGCCGAGACGAAGGAATCGGTTCAGCTCTTCCACCGAAGTCGAGGTCCCGATGACCTTGAGAAACATGGCAATACTCACGTCAGCCACATGGGAATGGAGATCGACACGATTTGATCGTGCCTCCTCCAATGCCTGCACAGCCCGGGCTGCCTAGCAGAGATGGCATGCAACGCAACTTGCGAAGCGAAGCTAGGGGTCTGAGGTCCGCGCGGTGTGCTTGTCTTCAAGGCGCTCTAGATTTTGTAGAACCTCGGAACTTTATGCATCCGAGGAAAACCTAGCTGGCGACAGCAGTAAATGGCAGCTTGAGCAGAAAAATGCTTGAAGCAGAATCGTTAAGTGAAGAAACCAAGTGTTCTCGTTGCCGCTGTCGAAGCTTCTTCCTGGGATCCACCACATGAAATGATATGCGAACACTCGTCACAACTGCTGCGCATGCATGTCTGACTTGTGAAACCCGCTTCACAACCCCACATAGATTCTAGTCACCGATGCCACTAGCACATACCGTCAGCTTCATGAACATCAAAGAACCATTCGTGACTGCACACATCAGAAATAGTATGACCAGCTGTCCAACTTTGAGACAGACACGTGCATGCAGCAACGCTAATCGAGAAACAAATCATTAGGCGATCTTGTAAGCATCAACCTGCAGGTGTTAATTTTGCTAAACGCCGATGACCTACATGCCAGGCAGGCTATGTTTGCTGAGGCAGCTACACTTCTGCCGCAGTGCCTCCGGTCGGTGCGCCCTTCCTGGCACCTGGCAGAACTCCACAAAGCGATCAGAAGAAACTCCGAGTCTTCCAACCAACGCCTGGTTTGGGGGACTTCTGTCGCCGCTCTTGAAGAAACTGCCTGGCGCCACGTGAATCTTTGGAATCCTCAACCGGGAGTGCAGTTCCATCGAACCGCTTCAAACTTGGTAGGCGAGCGCATGTTCTGCCTCAGGAATGTTGCGTTGAGGTTGCTTGAAACGGAAGGTGAAACGTTTTCAGCCGCACAAAGCTGTGCTCCGCACTTTGAATGGGTTCGGATGACCCTTTACTGTCGCATCTCCTTGCAAACAGTCGTTCGACTGCATCCGGCTGTGCATGATGGTGTTGAAGCTTGGGCCGTCTCAGCTTAGCATACTGACACTTACTCACACGCTCTACTCGAAGGGAATCCTCCTCCAGGCTCGAAGCTCTTTGCCAGCCTTGGCGCCTTAGCGAGGGAGCTCCTACTCGCAGCATCCGGCCGCTGATATCTCTACTTGTAACTGACTGCTTGTGGGGGTGTCTTCAGTCCGGCTTCGGGTCGTACCAGTGGTGCCTTGATTTTACTGACAGGTGTGTTTGAGCTTGTGCGCATGCACTGCCAGGCACTGGTAACTGAGAATAAGTTGAGGGAAAAAAGGCGCACAAGATCCTACATGGTCCTCTGAGGCGGCAGCGCTGGTCGGCCGCAGTCCACCCCGACCGGCCGAGCGTCGGCGCATGCGCCAGGGACCCTTATCCACAGGCTTGGCAGAGAAAGATGCACGTCCACGAGGAGAGGCAGGCTCCGTCCCCCGTCGTAAACACACGAGGCTCACTGTGTAAAGTAGCGAAAGTCTAGCAGGGTTTCTGGGCCGCTTGCAGTCTGAAGGGCATCAGACCCGGTGGCAGCAGAGGCTTGGCCAAGAGCCCAAATGCAGCAGGCGTACAACTTGGAGCGGATGCAGTGTACGCTTCAGGCAGGGGCTTTCAGGCTGCGCAGGTTGTCGTGTCTCTAACTTTAAGCGGGGCGTTGACTTCTGTTAATCTGTCCAACAGCATTTGCTAGGACTAGCATCTTCGCACGTGACTGTCGCTCGAAACTCCAGCTCTTCACGACCTTAAAACACCAGGAATCCTTCGTACAAAGGCTGCCCTGTGGACCGAAAATACCTTCTGATATTCCTGCCTCCGCACAGAACCCTGAACGATCAGAGCTCAGCACAGGAACACGCCGTCCAACTCGGTGCCTCGTACGGAATCGAGTGCCTCCGTGGCATTGGCAGACATCTCGATTGCGGTGCCCAGGCGCTTCGCGAAAAGCGAGTCTGCCGAAGCCGGGTTGCTTCCTTCCAAGCAGCGATATCCTCCATGGAGTGCTGGGCCGAAACCTGACGAGTCTTCCTCATGCCGTACTCTTTTTCAGGACATCAGGAGGCTCTGCCGAGGGTCTCTTTGGAGTGGCTGAGGAGCATGCATCATACAGCCAGAAGAGTGGCAACTTCTTTGGGCCCTCGCAGCCGCAGAAGCGAGCAGAAGCCAGGCAACTGCAGCAAGCGACGCAGCACCTCGCGCCAGATGGCTGGGTGGTGCCCGTACTCGCGGACGATGTAGGCGAGGTCATCCAAGAACCTCACATCAGCGAAGCATCTCCTGAGTCGCAGTGCAGAAAGAGGCCATGGCGTTTGCGGGGATCGGCCCCCGTACGGCTCGATGTGGAAGGATCTGAGCTCATGGAAGCAAGGGGAAGCGAAGCAGAAAGCCAAGGCCCCCTGCACAAAAACGCCGGCTTGGACTGCAGCCTGCAACATGTCAAAGCATTGAGGCCGACTTCCAAAGACGCTTTGAGACTTGCCACGTGCACGAGAGGCAAAAGACTCACAAAGCTTAAGGAAAAAGCCTCGAGCACTGACGGAATGAGTTCATCCGTGTTGGCACCTGCATGCAATGATTGCCATGGACGTTCCGGCTGGTGGGCACTAAGTTGCCAATCAGAGTCACCGACATAATTAGGACAAGAACGACTTCAAGCAGCAAGCTTTGCCAAGCGCTTCTGCTCGTCAGGGAATGCCGGTTTCAAGTGTGTCAGAGCAGACTCATCACACGCCAGTTAGCGCGATCTGTACGCTGTTCGCCTCACTCATCGTGTAATACTAGCCACCACGGCTCGCACAATGCCAAGAGTGCCCAAAGATACTGCGGGCGCAGTCTTCAGAGGAACGTCGACACTGGACTCTTCATATCACATCTTGGCCTGAGTCAGCATCATCTCGCTTGCCGGCCCAGTCCTCCGCTGCACAGGGCCGAAGGAAGGGCAAATCCGACTCCTTCTGCACCAGAAAGGCCTTTCGCCCCCACCAGGAACACATTGCGGAGTCAACACCTGCCTGGAACAACATCAGCACAGTGCTTGCACACAGGACAACAGGAGGTTCGTGCTCCCAAGCGTGCTCGCTGCCTTTGCCAGATCCTCAAACTGGCTCAGGAGGATGGACTCGTCGCTTGAGCTGGGGTGGAAGCCAGGTGTAGACACATGCACATCCCTGTCCCGCATGCTCGTGAGCGTCAGTGGGCCTATATGGACCCCGGTCAGGATAGAAGGTGGCGTGGGGCCTTGCATGGCACGCCATGGCATGCACGTCTGCCCATCCGCCCTTGGCAGTCTGTCGAAGTGTGCACGGCTATCTATGTTGCAGGCATTGATCTAAAGCGGCGGGTCTCGGACTCGTCTGGCGGGCTCCAATTGAACTTGTCATATTTGGCATCCACCTGGGCACCACCACGGCTACCACTTCAAGCTACCCGACGGGCAGTTTGCCGGCACCTCCTTGTCCCAATGTGGAAGCACCTGGCCGGCATTGCTGTCCAGGGCTGCATCGCTCGGAATAAGCGCAAGCCTTGTGATCCCAGTGCAGCCACTTGCCATCCACCTCACACATCCACTTGTCATCGGACAATTGACCTCGCCTGGACGCTCATGCCCCAACGGGCCCCAACTGTAATCTCAGGCTGAAACCTCGGGAGTGCCATACCTGGCGAAGCTCGTGCTTTCAGCTGGCAAGCTGTGTTGTCAGAGGCCCGTGCCAGAGGTAGAAGGCTGCATGGACGGCAGGGACGCTCCCGTCGGCCCTCCGAACCGGAATAGCCATGCATGCATCAGCAAATAACCTACTTGTAGCTGGGTCGTCCTCGTGCAGGTTGGCGTCGAGGTCGCGCTGACCTCCCCGGTAAGTTCCACTTGACAGTTGACATGCCCAGCTTTTCGTCTGGCTGATGAGGCTATGTTGCAGCAGAGACAAAGCAGCACGGCAAGGACTGGGTGAAGTACTGCCGTGACTGCCCAGAAGCATGAAGCCTGATAATCAGCCTCTCCGCACAATATTGGGGACAGAGCCTCTTCCGAAGCTTCTTCGGAGCGCACTAGCCTAGAAGTGCAGAGCTTGGAAAGTGCAGCAAACATGAAATTCAAACTCTCGGGCTTTCCAACACTCTCCGCCTTTTTGCAGCTTTCTGCTGCTGAGGGCTCACTGCCCCGATGCAGCGAAAAGATGAACGTCCGAAAGCTACCGTGGCTGCAGAGCGGCCGAGATACTGCATGTGCTGCAGCGTGAAACAAAGACGCTGGCTGAAGAGAGCAGCTACTTGCTGAATTGCACTGTTTGGTAGATGCTCAAGGCGCACAATTCATGATGTGCTATGCCGCAAAAGGCTTCCATAGAGAGAGGCGGGTAGTGACACAGGTACAGGGACAAGGCCCCAGGCCTGGACCTCGAAGTTACTTTCACCTCTTGACTCTTTTGCTGTTGCTTCTGCTTCTGCTGCTCCGCTGCTCGAACTCTCAGCACAGTGCCGCATCTACCTTACATGGCAGCTGACAGGACAAATGCTCCACGAACATGCACGGCTTTACCCATCTGCTGCGAAGTGGCTGCAAATGCCGCACTAGGTATGCTGCAGAGATGGCAAGGCCTGAATCTGGCAATGAGAAGCTTGCCTTCTTTCTCGAGCAACGTCTCGGCTTCGGACAGCTTGCCACGACGACAGCAGGCGTCACACCACAAGCTGCAAAAGGCCTGCAAGAGAAGTGCTGTGCAAAGTGCGAGCGCCGTGCTGCAAGTTGGTGCAGCTGAAGCTTGCACCACCCGTCGCAAAAACTTCAACCAAGCGGACAGAAGCACTTCAGCAAAGCTGCAGGAAGAACGGAGCCATAAAGCAAGACAGAACACTGAAAACACAGACGAAGGAAAGATTTCAGGAAGTATCATCCGCGCCTTTCATGTCTGCGCAGTGCCGACAGCAGCACCGCTAGCTTTGCTGGATTCAGAAGCTCCCTCGCGTCCTGGCAAGCGAAAAGCCGCAATTTGGGAGGTTGCCTGTGCCCCAGACGCACAGCCCCATGTCCAAGTCTACCCTGCCATGGACGAATACGTGGCGCTGTATGATAGCTAACGCACGCACGTGATCTGTGTCATCCGGTCTGAGTTCAGGCAGGCTTCCTCTGATGGATTCGCAAAAGCTCAACACACGATGATTCAAGTCGAATCAGAAGCCACAGCAAATCACTGGTCCAGGGGTTTCAAGGCCTTGGGATGGGAAGCAGCAAAAGCAGCTCCGGCAATCAGCAGTTTTGACAAGAGCTGTCGCTTGTTGGCATCCTCGGATAGCGGCAAGGGACCAGCCCAATTTCAACTTTTCTCTAATCCTGGCCAAGCCACCGCCCTAACTTTGATCCAGAGCCTCAACACACCGCTCGTCACTCCATCCGGCAAGATTGCAGTAGCGAGACTGGGTCCGAAGGCCAACCCTAGCGCAATCCCATCGAGACCAAGTGCAGGAGCTCACCACGAGGGCTCGTGTCACTATGGTTTTGTGTGTGTGTGTGTGTCAGTCAGAAGGCGGCTTTAAAGTCTCGTCGAAACCCCGAAACCCTACACAGGCTCTCGGCAAGCTGGAATTTTCACTCGAGTCAAGTCAGATAGTGCCGATACAGCCGCCACCCCAAAGGTACCGGGGCAGGCAAACTACCGCAGTTGCCCTGAGAGCACTAGAATCGACTTCGTCCAATTTGAACGAAACTAAATAAACGTGCGTTACTAAACTGTTCATTTCAATCTTCACGGAACAGATGTTTGAACATGCTTTGCAAACGAAGCTAAAGAACACCTCTTGCACGGCCTCACCATGCTGAGCTCTTTAATCTGCTTGCATGTAACTTGAGAGGCTGTTTGCTTGCTAGTTCGAAGAACATCGTTGCAATGAAACAAACTCAATACACACTCATAGTATTGCCTGGGATGTGAACCATTCAATTCACGTGCCAAATGCCAACTTTCCAAATCTCAGCTGCACAAAGTTTCCCTGTCTTGGCAGACAGGGCTTAAAGATTAGGGTGCTATTCAGAAGCCGATTCACACACCAGAAGAAAAACTGCACGAACATGTAGGCCATTAGAGCTTACCCAATCGCTTGCACTGATGCATCATTCAAATGCCATTGGACAATTTCCTACCACGTGGTGATCAGCGGGGCTGTCATGATGCCACTCATTCTGGTTATGCAGACACAGACGAAAGCGGATGTACGTGAACAAACTGCGTTGGCTAGTTCCGAGATCGGAAACAAGCAACACGATCCAAAAACCATGCTAACTAGCCAGATTGAAGTACCGTGGCTTTGGGTATGATAAAAACGCACCAAATGTGGATTATTTATTTCATTTACTTCATCATCAAAGCTGAACATGTAGGCAATTTAAGCTGCTATGCTGAAGTAAAGCTTTTCATGGCCCACTCGGAGAAGGACCCGAGCGGAAAATCTAGAGCAGCATGCCTACACGAATCATTTATATGTGACACCCAGGACCTTGAGCGAGACGACTTGCAGAAGTCGAAGCTACTAGAGCGAAAAATTTGGTTTACTTTGCGTACGTTATCATCGCCGCAAGAACATGGAAACTAATTAGTTGAAAAAAAAACCAAATGAAGGGTCAAACCGTTCCAAACGCTAAAGTTGTTCAAATTTGCCCGGCCCCTGAAACTAGAAAATGCAACAGCTTGTACACCTCCTGCAAACACAAAGATGAATAGCGTTTAATGGACCACATTTCGAAACATAAACCTTTGCGGCTTGTCCTTCTTGCACATCTTGCAGTGGGACACATAGTTGGACTGCATACTCAACAAGAATGTTTCAGTAATCCAGCTACGAGACAGATAGGTAGGCAGAGATGCAGGGAGCTACCCTCTCCCCGCCGTATCACTGCGTTACGAAACCACATACACGCCGCTTGCACTTCATCTCATACGTCGTTAAAGGCATTGGCTTCACGATCATTTAAAGCGTTGGATACATGAGGGAGTAAAATCTAAGATGTATGTGTGTATATTTATATATATGTTGATTGTTTTAGTTACTTGTTTACGTGCCTGCTTATTTATTTAGTACATACATACATACATACATACATACATACATACGTACCTACATACATCATACATACATACATACATACACACATACATACATACATACATACATACATACATACATACATATGTATATATATATATATATGCTAACCCCACCCCCTTGTACCAACCTTTCACATGGAGTCTTACCAATTCCAGAAGTTCCAAAACTCACAGTACTAATTTTCTGAAATTCCGACCATTTAAAAATTTCAAAATTCCAATAATCACCGAAATTCATCAAATTTCCAAAGATTCCGAAAATGCCAAAACCTGCAGAACTAAGTTTTGGAATTACGAAATTCCAAAATTCCGTGACTTCTCTGCAGTTTTTTGGAATTTTTGGAGACTTTGGAATTTTTGGAATTTTTGATTTTTGCAATTTTTTTGGATATTAGTGCGGCAGTTTTTTGAATTTTGGAATTTCTAGAAATACGAGGATTAACGTTGTTTTTTGTAAACATACCATTTCTTATATAGTCTCTAGCTTTTCATGTAAGATGTTGGTCAGTAACCTTTACGATCATCAAACCTTTGTTCGCCCACACCCATTAATAATATGAGCATGATTAGATTTAGGATAGACGGTACAACAAAGATTAACACTCCTACGCAATAAAGCTCATATTCACATATTGATCTCAGTACTAGTATTACAAATAAAACCAATACTAATACTCATTTTGACAGTAATATGAATACTAATACCCTCACCGACTCACGAATATGAATCTTCATTGCAATACTACAAGTAAAACTAATATTGATATTTATATTCGTACTACATAAATACAAATGCTAACATCAATAGTAAAACTAGTTGTAGTGTGAATACGAATGATCTTACGATTACTTATAACCGTAGTCTTGTTAGTAATCTTAACACCCATGCTAATATACATACCAATGCTTGTACCAATGCGAGTACATATATTAATACAAGTATTACTCCTGCGAGTAAAACTATTCTTTCTCGTAGTATGCATAATAGCACTGTATTGGTATTCGTATTCGCATTAGTTTTTCGAGTATGTATTTTAATGTTAGTACCGGTTCTTACTTTATTTTCAGATTGGTAATATTCCTACCAATAAACATTTTCGTACTCACACCAACACCAATCTTCACACCAGCACCAACAACATGCCTAATACTTGTACGAAGACTGGTTTTTAGTCTGAATACTAATACCCTCGCGATTACTTATACTCATAGTAATGTTAATGCTATGAATGTTTGTGTTCCTGCGAATACTACCAATCATATTCCTATTGCCAGTAATATTAATACACATATACATACTGGTGCTAGTACTAATTTTCTTCATACCTATATCAATATTAAGTGTTTTTCCGTGCCAATATTAGTACTAGTAATCACACGGATACAAAGGCCAATACGATAATTTCATTCACATTCATATTAATATGATACTTATACTAATTAGTATACATATACACATATACTACTGCATACTCATATACATACTACTAAAATGAAATTCCGAAACATGCATGCACCAAAGTACTTAAGAGTCAGTATCTCCATATACAAACGTACCACTATACCAACTATATCAGTATACTAATAAACTACAATAAAATACGGATATGCATACTGATGTTCCTACAAATATTAACAATCATGTCTTATACACAGTACTATCAATACTCAAACTAATATACATACCAATGCTTATATCAATGCGACTGCATATAGTAATGTAAGTACTACTCATGAGTACGAATACTAATATTCCGGTTATGCATAATACGAATGTGTTAATATAAATATGAATATTAGTACTAATTCTCCAACAGCGGGTACGCTTGGGGTATGCGCGCAACGATGTGTCAAAGAATCAGTATTTTCACATACCAATGTACCAATACACCACTATACTCACTATACCAACTAATATACTAATATGTTAAAATAGTAAGTATCCCAATATACTAGTGTGCTAATATGCACTTATTAAGACTAAGACTAAGACTAAGACTAAGACTACTACGAATACTAACACGTATGCTACACATATATTATCACTAATACTTTATCAACTTATAGTAAGACTAGCACAAATACTAATCATGATACTAATATTACACTGAGATTGGCATTCACATTGGCACCACACTAACACTAAAACTGACAATATCTTCGTCTCGACGAATGGAGAGCATGGGGACTGGTGAATAGAAGTCTCTAAGAGACTATTTGAGTGTATTGCTTGAGAAGAAAGCATGTT